CCCCAAAACCCCAAAACCCCAAAACCCCAAAACCCCTTGGAGTCTAATGAAATTGAAATATGATAATTCAGATCAGTGAAGCATCCTTCTATTGATAATTTGGGTTTGAAATGTGTTTTGTAAACCTTCACTTATGCTTCTGGCTTTCTACAATTTATGGGTTAGTCAATAGTAAGGATAATAAATTTTCAAAATATAATTTTGACACTGACAACTAACCTTTAGAGAGATTCCTTTCTCTTGCTCTTTGCTCAGCTAATTTCTGCTTATTATACCCAGAGTATGCGTTTATTCTCATTCCTTGGATTGAAGGAGGAGATTTAATGGAGAGCTGACCTCCTACTAGTTTAGGGATACTTTTACCATATTTCCTAATGATTGTAGGCTGTAGCTTAGTTTCATAAATCACTCCATTTTGAGTATCTATTTTATAATGACCTGCAGTATTTTGAACATTGATGGGATTGTTTTGGTATCTAAATCTTATAATATTTTTATACTTTATGACAGAAAATTGACCAAACTGATAATTTGACATCTTATATTCTCTCCGATTTCTTTCAAAGTGTCTCGCTTTGTTGTCTAAAATTAGTAAGGGCTCATTTTACTATTATTTGATGCAAGATTTCTTCCTTTCGCACCTATCTTTGATGGAATACTATTCTTTTTACTGCTTCACGAAGTTGATGAAGTCATTTTATTTTTTTTGTTCTATAATTATTTTTAAATTTACATGATATTTTGATGAATATTTAGGATCCTTTAGTACAGGATATTTTCTTCCTGTTGCTTTCTGGCTGTTCAAAGCGTTGTGAATGATCCTATTCTCATGATAGCCACTATCTTTTAGCATTTTTATTGATGCTGGATTGCAGTTTGAAGAAGAAACTGAGTAATCTCCAAACTCATTATTTTTCTGTGGTCTTGACTCATAACTGTTGTTTTTCTCTTGAATTGAGTAGTCTAAACATTGATGAAATTGTGTAAGTGACATACCTGATTCTTTAAGTTGAGATCTTCTCTCAATGCTTAAATGGTGTCTTCTTTTCTTTTCTGGATCACTCAAATCATCCTTAGTTCTCTCAATAAAAGTTTTAGTTTTTATTCTGCTAATTTTATCTGGAACAAATTGTTTATTTTCTAGCTGACATTTCATAGTCAAACATCTTTAGATGAGTTCCTTTTCCTGTTCTACTTTTAACAACGGTTGATTTTAGTTTATTGGCGCTATTGAGCTTTTCAGACTGGGCAGGCTCAACTTGTTCAGCTGGTGCAACTGGCTTCTCCATAGTGGGAGCACTTGGATTATTTAGTTTTTGTAGTGATGATCATCTTCTTTGGATTGTCACTTTCATGATCATTTCAGATGACAGTTTTCTTAGACTTGCTTTTTAAAGTTGATTGCGAATTCACAAATGTATTCACTTTAGGTTCAAATTGCTTTTTATCAGATTTCGTAGCTTCTTTTACTGTTTTAGTATGGTTAGTAGGTTTTATTCTCGGCTTTTGTTTCTTTGGTACAGCATCAGAAGACTCTTCTTTTACTTTCTTTTTGCCAGTTGTGAAATCTTCCCAGAGTGTACTTGCTTTGGTCAAATATTTGAGGTAGATATCACCTCCATCATCTTCTTTAATAGTTTTCTTTCTTGAAATAGTATTTTTGGGATCATTTGATTTCCTTTTAGACCTTGCCGATTTGTTGTCATTTCTGTTTACAGACTCCTTTGGCTCTGGCTGTTCTTCTTTATCTTTCTGCTCTTGTTCTTTTCTTTTCTTGAGAAAAGCTTCTTTCTTATTTTCACTGAGAGGATATAGGAGTTTGTATTTTCCCATATTCTTTTGCTCGTATTCAATCCTTTCTTGTTCTCTTTCTTTACGATAGATTTCTTTCTCTTCAGGAGTGAGCTTGTTTTGCTTTCCAGTGTGCATTCTAGCCATTAGGCTTTCTTGTTGTTGCTTTTTGTGCTTTCTTTTCCGATCTAAGTTTTATGCTCAATGCTTACCTTCAGTGAGATTGATCAATTGGAATGTGTCACTAATGAGACCTTTCTTTATCTTACGATCTAGGGGAGTATCTGTAGCAAAGGAAGGGCTGCTATTTACTTCGAGTAGCCAAGGCCTTCACTTGTGATCAAGAAGAACATCAAATCCTAGAATTTCAAAAATCATTGAATTATCAAGGTTGTCAGGCTGGAGAGTCTTATATGCGTGAGCGATTGAAGGTTGGCAAGTAATTATAGTTTTTATTATAAGATCACTGATTCGATTCATAATGATATTAGGATCATTTCCTTCATCTTCAAGTTGCTTCAGTACAGCAGAAAGAGATCTTTTATGACCTACATCATCTATACCTTCCTCTTCATTGAAAACGAAATCGTCACTATTTTTATTAATGGCATAATTTGTAAGATGCATAAACAAATTGTTCATATTTTTCCTTGAAGGAGCTCAGTAAGGCGAAGTTGCAAATCTGACAAGACCTTCTTTGTATAAATAAATTCTGAGAGGATCGACTCCATAAACTAAGACATATATTCTGAGATCGAATTTTAAATCGTCGATTAGATATGGTCTACTAATATAGTCTTGGGCAATTCAGTGATCTTCAGGATTCAATTTTTTGATTGATTTCGTAAGGAAAATGCCTTCTCCTTGTCACATAGCTTCAGGTTTGACAATAAAAGCTTTATGAGACCTGCCTTTTCTGTTAAAATTATTTCTGAAATCGACCATTTCATATGGAAGGAGCCAAGTTCTTGGGAAAAACCTGTAATCATTCGGAAATTGTTTCATCATTTTCATCAGATTTCTGCCAAGATGATTTTTCCTGGAAAGAGCATACATGCCTGGATAATGATTAGCTTTTTGATGAGACTTCATTCTGAGCATTTTCTCTGGAGGCAACTGTCCATCTAACCATACGAGATCCCAATCTGCATCATCATTTCTTGTTATTTTGAAATTGAATAGCTTTCCTACTTCTTTCACAACTGGATAATGAGTATAGGCTAAATTGAGATATAATCTGTCTCATTTTCTAACTCTATTTAGCTTTAACGGGACTATCATCCTCTTCCTCTGAATCATTGTCAGATCCTGACATGCTTTCTTCACTACTTGATTCTTCCCCGTTTGAAAGGTAGTCATCATCTTCATCGTCACAAGATGAAATAATTGAACCTAGGAAGGAATCGTTTTTCTCAAAAATATTGAGGTCATGAAACTGATTATCAATTATTTTCTCCTCGTGTTCATCAACCTTTTTGATTTTCTTCTTCTGAGAACCTTCGTCAGATCCATTCTCAGAATTTGAGTCATCAGAAGCATCTGAATCATCAGAATCAGATCAACTTTCTTCAGACGATTCCTCTTCCGCATCATATTCTACTCCTTGGAGTTGTCTAGCAAGCTCTCTATCCATATTTTATTTTATTATTCTTAAGTTAAATAACAATTTGTGCTTCCTCTTCAGGGGTTTTGGGGTTTTGGGGTTTTGGGG